TCTTTACAATAAAATAATTGTTCTAGAAAAAGAAAGAATAAGCATTTTAAAAAGCAGTGCATGTCTCCAAATGACAAAAGTAAGATCAACATACGATCATGGTAAGAAAAAAAAACATTAATGAAACTTCCGTCATCATAGCTCATGGGCTCCAGCTTGGAATGAAATATAACATCCAGTCATACTGATGGTATTTTTAAGAGGCAGGTATTTTTTAAAGTAAAAAAGATAAAAGTAAAAACAGTAAAAGAAGAGAAAAAGATATATCATGTGACTGCAAATGAAAGTGAAAATCCATTGAAATAATATACGGTAAAGTATTTGATTGTGTTTCATAGAATATGCTGTGAAATCAAAGCAAAATCTTCACTTCTATAAATATAGAAATGGTCAGCTTCCTTAGTGAACAAAAATATTAAAGCATTCGTGGAGAATTCCTCTTAGGTTGTGAAACTAAAGGAATTTAAAGGTTTATGCCCAAGATTTCTGAGCCTAAGATTTGTTGTTTACTGTTCATAGATACCTATCAGTACTGGTCACTTTGTCAGAAAGGGAGCCCAGTAAAATAAAACCAACTCATCTAACTATCTCTTCCCGTTTATTAATATCTTACGCCATGCTATTTTAATTGTTTACAACTTTCTAAATTAAATGGCTCTCCCTGATGTGAGCAGAGCATTTTCCCATTTGCTCTCTGTGTTGCTGGAGCCCCCTTGCAGCTCATGCTCAACTCTAAACATACCATCTTATTCCAGCAATTCTGTTAAGCACCAGACTTTTCCGATTCTTTCCGAAAGACTTCAAGTAACTTATACATTATTAATTTCTTCCATGCTCTTAGACTTCACCATCGAGTTAGCATGAATGTCTGATCCTCCTTTTTCAGCCTCTCCTCTGTCTGTGGCTCCATGCCTGCCTTTTCTCACTGATCCTCCTTTTTCAGCCTCTCCTCTGTCTGTGGCTTCATGCCTGCCTTTTCTCACTTGGGACTTGTGTAGCCTCCTGTTCCCGCTCAGGATGATCTACCTTCTGGTAAGGTGAAGGGAAACAGTGGTGCATTTTTTATGTTTCCTACTTCATTCCTACAATTTTAATCTACATCACCAACCCGTTTTTATTTTCAAATCATTTTATGATTTCCCTCAGTGAACATCCGCTCTTTCTTTTTTCGTAAACTGTGAGCATATTGCAGGCCATATCTTTCCCTGGGCCCTTCGCTTTGCTCCACCATTCGACTTTGGGACCTGCTGCTGTGTGATTCTTTTGTTTCTTGGTGTAATACAAGGACTCTCTGGGAATGTGTTCTTCAGGTTTTTCTCTTTTTACCTTTACTTGTTTCGTTTAGATATTTTTCTCTTCCTTTTCCTCTCCCCCTTTTCCTCCTTACCCTTCTTCCCTCCCTTACTCCTTCACGTCTGGTTTGTGATTGTAAAAATGTGACTTAGACGTTTCCTTCTTTCAAAAGTCTGTGAAGGATGACAGTGCGTATTGACCGGATGTACGGCTGAGCTCCTTGCGTTTGTGCTACTAACAGGGCTTGAACTCAGAGCCTGTTGCTCTCACTCAACTATCTTTTACTCATGGCTGTTGCCCTACCACTTGAACCACACCTCCAGCCTGGACTTTTGCTGGTTACTTGGAGGTGGAGTCTCAAGGATCTTTTTGCCTGGGCTGGCTTCACATCTCAGTCTTCCAGGTCTCTTGAGTAGTAGGGATTATAGGCAAGTACCTGGCTTATGACAGACTGATTTTTGTTCATAATGAAAAAGATCTTTAACTTCTACTTAAAGGAGTCTATTAAAGAAGCTTTGTGGATTATCCTACCTACGACCTTTTCTGTATTTAATCTTTGTCTGCTGTAACACCCAGTTATTAAGAGCTGTATTGGTATGCGTTTTGGTCTCGTTTCCTTTGAACCCTTCCTCGGCTCGCTTTTCTCCGAGGCTCTCCCCTCACCTGCGGTGGGGTGTTCTTCAGGTGGCTATGTGAATGACTGTCGGAAGGTGCCGGGCTTCTCGTCCCCAGGCTCTGGAAAGCTCCGGATCTCCGTCCTTACGCCTTTGTGTGTTCATTCCAGTGCCAACCCCCCCAGTCACCCCAGAGGTGGCTTTTCATTGGCTCTATGTTGTAACTGTGTGATTCGCATTTGCCCAGGTGGCATCTTTCCTTGTCAATTCCTCCTGAAATTTTGCTTTCAACAAAATTCGCTTCCAGTGTTTGATTCCTTCTACCAAAACTTCTTTTCATAAAATAGTTTCTTGTGCAATACATAAAGAGAGTAGAGAATTATCGGCTATAAAGAAGAATGAAATGGTATCATTCGCAGGAAAATAAAACTGGAGGTAAGCCGGCCACAGGAGGATTACATGTATTACATGTTCTCACAGGTAGAACGTGGGGGAAATGGAAGGCATGCAGGTAGAGGGAGAGGATGGGGGAGAGGGTGGGCGGGCAGGGGGAGGCGGGAGGGGCAACGGCGAGGTCTGCGTGACCGACATACGCTACACTTCATGCTGGACACTGGTGACTCCCACTCAGGAGGCTGAGATCTGAGAACCATAGTTTAAAGCCAGCCCGGGCAGGGAAGTCTGTGAGATTCTTAGCTCCAGTTAATCATGGAAAAAGCTGGAAGTAGATCTGAGGCTTAAGTGGTAGAGAGGATGGAGCTGAGGGACTGCACCAAGGCCCAGTGTTCAAGCCCCCGGTGGGGGTAGAAGGCACTGAAGGACACGGTGGCTCCGTCCTGGGCGTGTGGCTGGGCAGGGCCTGTGGAAGGCGGTGACCCGTGTGGCCTAGGCAAGAAGGGAGGGAGGAGGGGCGGGGGGCGGGGAGGGAGGCCGGGGAAGAGAAGCAAAAAAGCCTGAAGGTTGTGTGTCAAGTGGTACAGCGCCTGCCTTGTTGCTTTCCTTTTCTTTTTATGGTCAGAGTGATGTACAGAGGGGTTACAGTTGCATAGGTACAATAATAAGTACGTTCCTTGTCAAACTTGCTACCCCTCCCCTCATTTTTCTCCTGTTTCCCCTCCACCCCATCCCCGCAAGTTGTACCGATCATTTCCAACATCTTGTCTTGTGACAACATCTTGCTGTTGCATTGGAAGCACTGCCCAGGTTCTCAGTGCAAACCCCAGGCCCACCAAAAGAATAACATCTGCTAATTAGAAACAAAAACAAAAACATATTCCAGTACCCAGAGGGTGCTGTAGAAATGATAAGGATGTGAGTAAATAAGTGGGAAGAATTCAAGGTAGTACTCACAAAATGCTTTTTTTTTTTGTGCATACTTTTGTTTGCTTTTCTTGGGCTTCCTGTTGTTTCCAGTTTAGGTGTTCTGGGGTTTTCTTCCATGGTTTCGTCAGTGAGACTCTTATCTACAATTAACAACCAGAAAACTGGAAGTGGCGCTGTGGCTAAAGTGGTAGAGTGCTAGCCTTGAGCTGAAGAGCTGAGGGACAGCGCCCAGACCCAGAGTTTAGGCCCCACGACTGACAAATAAAATTTTTTTTAAAAAAATTACTATACAAGGCACCCTGGGACAGGTCTGCACAGAGATGCAAAATCCTTGATTCCGTCTGTGGAGAGATGGAAACCCAGGCTCCCAGGAAAGAGTATAAAGAGAAGAGATGGGAAATATATGCTGTTGCTGGTACTGAATTAGTCTGTTGTGCTGGTTCTCCTGAAAGGTAATGGGATTGTGTGCAATGCTTAATTCTGATCACTGTAACACTATTTGTAGCAACCTTTCCTTAGAAATAATAGCAAGGAGGGAAGGGATGCTAGGGGAAAAACCAAGGAGGAGGTAACAATGCCTGATAGGAAATGGACTGTAACCCCTTTGTACAGTATTTTTCCAATAAAAAGGATGTTAAACATAATAAAAAATAGCAATAAATATGACCAAACTAATAGACATTGTCTATTTAAGCATGCTGGAAAAAAACAAAAAAGAAATGATGTCATTGTCTTGTATCAGAAGGAAGGTATAAACAAACCATCACACATGTGTGGTGCTGCGTGTTAGGCCCTTATGAGTTGACATGCATAAGGTTTAACGGGATAAGTAAATGCCCATGATGTCATATAACAAATGAAGACGTTAGATATAGAGTTAAAGGCAGCTAGACAGTGCAGAAAGGAGAGGGAGGGAAAACTGCCCAGGAGAAGACTGAGGTTATTTTGAGCTGTGGAACTTGATTGGTTGTTCCCATTGGTGGTTCCTCATCGTGTGTTTGTTCATCACCAGCAGAGCGTATAGACACGAGAGTGCCATCCCTGCTACAGACACACATCCCCAGCACCCCGCCCTCCAAGCCCTTAGTGCCCGCCCTTCTTTTTCTCCCACTTTTGTGATCATTTCTTCTGTGAATCTACCATAGACTTTCAGATTATGATTATCGCCATGCTTGTAAACGTTTCCTAAGCGATAGAATCATTCAAGCTTACAAAATAGCTTCAAAACACTGAGCTTGTTACTGTACAGTCGCCCACAGCAGATCTCCCGGGAATACTGGCACGCCGTGTATTACATGGGGTCCATTTCTTTAGCTTTTTAATTGCTTGGCAATATGAGTCTTATGACGTGAGGGTTTTTTATATTTGTGTGTATATTATACACACACACACAAGTTTGCTAATTCTTAAGACACAATGTGGGGCTGGGAAGGTGGCTCAGTGGTAGAGCGCTTGCCTTGCATGCCTGAGGCCCTGGGTTCGATTCCTCAGCACCACATAAGCAAAAAGAAAAAAGCCGGAAGTGGCGCTGTGGCTCAAGTGGTAGAGCGCTAGCCCTGAGCTGAAGAGCTGAGGGACAGCGCCCAGGCCCAGAGTTCAGGCCCCACAATCGCACCCAAAAAAAAAACACAATGAGTTGCTTTTTGCTTTCTTCTTGTGGTTGCTAGAGAACTGTTCATCTACATGGTCCTGTATGGACAATGGTTGTTGTCTACAGTGATAGCAAATCATTTTACATGTGGCTCAGAACTGAACCTTTTTTCCCCCCAGGAATGTATACAAAGACTATCGTTTCCTTGAGCTCGCGTGTGACTCCCAGGAGGAGGTGGACAGCTGGAAGGCGTCTCTGCTGAGGGCCGGGGTCTACCCCGACAAATCCCTGGTGAGTCTGACCTACCTCTTATTTAAAATGGAAGAAAACACATTAACTGTAGATGCTGTGTGTGTGCTAGAGAGACTAGTTTTAGCTTTTAGCTGATACTTTGTCCTTTCTTTCTGCACTGCTTTTCCTCCACTAGAGTGCTGTGTCAGAACGTTAGTAGGTGTGTTTGTTGAATAAAATGCCTTAGGCTGCTGCCAACTACAGCCGGTGGACTCTCAGGCCAAGGAAGGTGGTTTTTGTTGTTTTGTTTAAAGATTGTATTTTTTCCTTGATATTACTCTCCAGTTACTAGGGTGTTAATACAAGCCATATCGCATCATTCACAACAACAGCATTTTACATTTAAGAGGGCTTGGTTTTATACAGACTCTCTCGTGGTGTCTGTATTACTTGTATCCGTGGTTGTATCTCTGCTGGGTCTCTGGCTAATGTCACTCTGAGTATGAAAGAACAGAAACTGCATATTGTTCTTCCCACTTACCTTTATTAATATACTTCAAGTGTCTGGGAGACACTTCCCTCGCTCGCATGAGTAAACAGAACTTCTCTTTGTGTTCTTGGGAACTGTAATGTTGCACAGCTAGTGGAACAGCCCCCCCCCCGTCTGTGCACACCAGCACCCCGCAGGCAGAGCGCCCCCCCTCTGTCACTGCTCAGCTCTACACCGCCTAGGGCTCTCCCCACCACAGAAGCACTGGGCCTCGGGACCAGGGGTTCAGTCCAGCGTGACGTGACCCGTGTGGTGCTTGTTTGGCTCTCAGCCAACTTAGAAGACTGCTGATGTGTGGTGGGTCCTTCCTAGACTCAAACTAAGAACCAGTGTTTTCGAGATTAAAGTCTGAGATTTAGGTGCCCCTTGGGACAGCAGAAATCCGTCTGTAGACTTCAGACTTATGACTTTGGGGGTCTCGCTGGATCTTAATGGAGTTCCCAGGGGTAATGGATTAAGGATTCGTACCAAAATGTTCTCTTCTATTTGTACCAAAATACTGCTGTTGTTTGAGCTCACCAATAGTCCCTTTATGCCCTTCCACTGAGCACCTTCCTGACTGCCCAGTGAGCCCCACTCCGGGCCTGTCCCTCTCCGTGGACCTCACATGCAATGCTTTCCTGGAGACTCACGGTGCAGATGAATCTGTGCAGCATTTTGGTCAGTGTTGTGCTGTTTCTTCTGTTGTGTGCACACAAATGTACACACATATATGCTTCTCTAGAGAGTGCGGGCGAGGCCGGGCAGTGGAAGCTCGAAGGAAAGGTGAAGATGTTTGGAGTTGATTCTGAGTGAGAGGAGAAAACATGAAGGGTTACAAAACCAATTAGTGACAAAATTAGATTTACCTCCTTAAAAGCTCATGATGGCTGCAATTTTCTGAAGAGCAGCAAAGCATATGGGTTCAAGCTCACCCTCTATACAAATTCCAGATGTTCACTTGAAAGTTGTGTGATCTTGAAAAACCAACTGGCTTCTTTACCTCCCCAAATTCTCTTTTCTAAATTGAAGATAACCTTATAGGATGGTTGATAGAATTCAATGAGCTCAGGCATGGAAAGCATTGAAAAAGGCATTACAAGCGCTCTTCTTTTCTAATGTGAATATCTTACAAGCTGGGCCCAGGGAGACTATGGTGGGTGCGGGAAAAATTGTCATAGAAAACTTAATTCATCATAAACTATTTTCACAAATCTAGATTTTCATATATACATAATTCTACACCAAGAGGCAATCCAAGATATACCTTTTTTTCATTTTAAGCAAATCTAGAAATTCCCTACTATTGGTTTTGACTCTTCACAAAAGTCTCAAGTGTTTACAAACACATAGTTGGTATAATTGCCTGGGAGATCAAGACAAAGAGCTTTTTTTAAAAACCACATACCAAAGGCAAACAGGAAATTAAACTTGGCTGCGTGCCATGACTGTTGCTTTTCTCAGTTTTCATCATAGAAAAAGCGTGTTTCTTGTGCACAGTGTGATCCTGGAGCCTGTGTGGATGGCTGTTGGACATGTCGAATGGCAGCCGACGTTGAAGCTGGCCGAGTGGAGAGCCCGTCTTCGGGCTCACTTACCTTCAGAGGAAGGGCGGCCCTAGGAGTAGTCCTAATTTCAAAATAGCTGATGAAATCAGACAGACCTGATCCTTGATTCCAGTTCTTTAAAAAATTCAGGACATAGGAACAATATGTCATTTTGCTTTTGTATCAATACACCGTCAAGTAAGCAATAGCCTGCGCTCGCTTCCCTAATAATCAAACATTTATGTGGCCTAAGAGGATATGAGTTCAGAAAAAAATCACCCAGTTCTGCTTTTTCCACAGATGCCTCTGTTTTCACTAGAAAGAATTTTCAAGCTAGATTATTGTTTAAAATGATATAAGTTTGAAATCATTTACATAATAGCCATCAGCCAAATTCAAATAAATGATGTTTTGGGTGGACCACTTTTTCTGGCACAATTGGATGTGCACACTTGAAATAACACATTTTTTCCTATCACTTCCATGTGGTGGAATATTCTCTACCAAACATACCAGAATATTCTGCTATCCTGCTTTTTATTGCTCATTTCTTAACTCATTTCTCTTGAACTATTCTAAATAAATATATAAACAAATCCCTTTCTCTTCCTTTTCTGTCTTATTTCCATCCCTTAGCCCACCTCTATTTTAGTGGACTCTAGAGATTCATAGAGAAATGCTACAGTTAGTACTTTGTAGAAATTCTGCATCTAGTGGAAGAGAGAAATGCAAACACTTGCAATATGCCAAGAACTGCAGTGGCTGTCTCTATACAATGCAACAGCCCAACTCTCTTTCCATGTGCATTTTCTAGTTGCCTTGCAGTTGCCAACGTGCATTTTCTAATTATTTTCACTCTCATTTTTCTGGATCCACAGCAAAACACTTCTACTGCGAGCAGTGTGGTGTGGGGGCGTAAAGTGGAATTGGAAAGCCCTGGAGTCCGTCTCCTATTGTGCTAGTAGCTTTCTCTCTGAACTTACACATGACCTCTCCCCTCCTCAAAGCTAGCATTCTATCAGCCACCTGGTATTCATAAGCAGCCACAGTATTTTGAAAATATATTTCAGGAGTTGGGAAATTAGCTCAGTGGAAGAGCACTTGCCTGGCAGGTATAAGACCCTGAGTTTGGTCCTCAACACCACACAAACATACAAACTAATAATAGTCATATTTAAAAAATGTATTTCAATTGAATTCAGATTTAGCAAAAAAAAATTTCTTTTATTTCTATTTCCTTTGGACGTTAAGTTAAAGTAACAGTGACTATGAGATTTTAGACTGTTACATAAGTGCATTGTATTGAGCTATCATGATCCTCTGTAGACATATACCAATATTACGAATGAGGGAAACCATGGAGCCCATGTTCCTTTAGGTCTGGCTTCACTTAATATAATTTTTTTCAAGTCTTTCCATTTCCTTATGAAGGGGTGGTGTCATTCTTTCTGATGGAGGCATGGAATTCCATTGTGTGTGTGTGTATACTATGCTTTTTTGATTCATTCATTCACTGAGGGCCATCTGGGTTGGTTCCATGTCTTAGCTGTGGTAAATAATGCTGTAATGAACATGGTTGTGCTGGTAGCTTTGGTGTGGACTTGTTTGTGGTCTTGGGTAAATGCTCAGGAGTGGGATTGCCAGGTCTTAGGGAGCTCTATGACCATATAAGATGATGCTAATCGAAATGAACTCCAAGTTATGGAAACAAGAGATTTTTCTTTGTTGTTGTTGTTTTTAATGTACTGTGTGAAATTACTTTTTTCTTTCTTTTTATTCCCTGTTGTCATTGTATTTGATTTTGGTGCCCTGTGTCTTATATAAACATTTATCTGATTTGGAAAAGGGAAAGGGAACAACAAAATGGTGAGACAAAGTACAAAGGGTGAACCAATGCAACAGCGATCCTCACCAGACACTGTGTTGGAAATGAACTTTACAGCGTGGGGGAGTTGAGAGGGAGGAAAAATGGGAAAAAATGAGGGTGAGGGTAACAATGTTGGACAAGAAATGTACTTACATATGAAACTAACATCACCTTGACAATAAAATTAAATTTACAAAAAAGTACATAGGACTTCAGTTTCAAAGTGAAGATGTTTTTAATAGAATTAAAAGTTCCCTCATCAGTCTGAAGTATTCACACACACACACACACACACACATGCACACTTTGTATCAGTAGTTAGAAGACACTGTTGTTAAGGAATCTTTAAGTCAGTGGGTTTGTGTGAGAGGAACTTTCCGATCTGTGGGCTTGGCAAGCCCCGTTGTTTGGAGAGGGGCGCAGTGCTGTTTGGGGAGACAGGCCCACCGAGGCAGGGCGGGTGGGCCGAGGGCACTGAGGGCCCTCACGAGTCTGTCCCTAGAAGCTGTCCTAATGGCCACCTAAAAACAGCCCGGGATCTGTGCCTGCCGGGAAACGGCCTGGTACACATCCGGGTTTTTCCTCTGTCCAGTCGCTGCCTAGATGTGGTCCTTCCCTCCTGCCCTGCCCCGGCCGGGTGCTCCCTTCGGAGATGCGGAGCAGCGACGCGCAGTGAGCCCGCAGTGAGGCCCGGGGCTCCAGCGTCCACACCGGCTGTGCTGACAGCGGCGTGGGGTGTGGCACGGTCTCCCCATGAGGACTTTTTGGTACTCAGAGATTCCTCTCGGCAAGACATTAACAACCAATTTTCCCGCGCCAAAGACGGTGGAGAAAGGGGGCGTCCGTCACTCCGGTGGCGCAGGGCAGGGCAGGCAGGGCACCGGGGGCGCAGGGCAGGCAGGGCACCGGGGGTGCAGGGCAGGGCAGGCAGGGCACCCGGGGGCGCAGGGCA